TTTAGTAAAAACCATGATGACTGTGTTTGGCCAGCTGCTGCCAGTGAAAGCTACACGTAACCTCTTCATTGTAAAAGTCCTCCTTCATCCCCTGCAGTCCACGCCAGCCGTCGAATGAGGGAATTAACGGTACAGGTTCTCTGGTCAAAACTGAAGAAACAAATGTCCCTTTAGTGACAGATCCAGAACTCGAAGCAGGTTCTTTTCCTTAATTGCTGGCTTATTAATTATTCTGTTTCAATTCATCGTGCTGATTCACTGTGATGAGAAGCGTAGAATTTTAAATTTGGAAGGTGGGACTCATAGGATAATGGCTTCTTTGAGTTGTGGCCAAGTCAACTTCGGAGCGCAGGTGAGGTTGTCTAGAATCTGTTGTTGTTGTTAAGTGCTGCCTTGTCGGCCCTGACTCATAGCACCCCCATGTTCAGACCAGAATGAAGTCCTGTCCGATCCTGCTTGACCTTCACCATCCCTGCTGGACTCAGGCCCTCTGCTGCTGTTACTGTGTCCTTCCATCGCGTTGACGTTCTTGTTCTCATTCACTGACCCCTTGTTTTTCATGTCTTCTCCCGGGCTGGTCCCCTCCTGATCACATACCTAAAGTGTATGAGACCAGGTCGCAGCCATTCTTGCTTCTAAGCAACACTCCGGCCGTATTTCCTCCAAGACTGGTTGATTTGTGGTTTTGGTGGCCCGGTCAGCATCTCTACCAGTACCATAGCTCAGAGATACCCGTTTTCTGTTGTTCTTCCTTATTCATCATTCGTCTTTCACTTTTAGGGATTTCTGCTCATTTTAGTTTTGAGAACAAAAATCAGTTCTTTTAAATTGGTAGCATAACACAGCAACTACCATCCAAAAAATCTGCAGCTCTCTATCATGTTTCTGAGGCTATAAATCTTAGAAGGAGGCAATTGCTTCTCTGTCTCCCTCGGGACAGCTGATGGGTTTGATCCGCTAACCTTTTCCTTAGCAGTCCAGTACATAATTGCACCATGCCACCAGCACCCCTTAATGTATCTCTATTCTCCAGTGCCAGTAACTTTACTGAATTTATCTGTGACAGCCACCCTTTCCCTTTAAAATCTGCCCACGTAATTGCCAACTCTCGTGATGAGAAATTTTTCCACGTAGCAGAATGATTTTGGGACAAAACTACTACAGTCAGTCAGTTCTGGGAACAAAAGATGGAGATAATCAATAATGCTCTAATGATCACTTTGCATTGTTTCCAATTAAGAGAACTCCTACATGAGACTCTTTGTTTGTGTTTCATTGTGAAATTGGACGACAGTGGAAGCTGGAAAATACGGCTGTGTCTCCTAACAGATTTTTTTTGGTGGTGGGAAAGGGCGTTACACTGTAGGCAGGATTATGAACCTGCTGTTAAGAAGCAGAAGCAATTTCCTTAGCATCTCACTTGATTAATAAGCTTGGCAATGTCTGTGACCTTTAGCGCTTTAATTAAAATACTGTCTCGGGTTGCTGTGCTGGCCGTTGGTCGTTTTGCAATCGGAGCGTATATTTGTGCTGTGTTTACTCACAGTTTGCTCCCCTTTCTTACCACTGTACTTTTCCCAGGCTAATTCTTCCAACCTAAAAGAGAAATTGAAGCATGTAGGAGTATTTCCCTTGTTATGCTGATAAGCCCTCCTCTATTAAAAGAGGGTGCTGAGCTCAAACCTCCTCTTCAGTCCCACTGTGGTGAGGATCGTACAGGACTGGACAAAGTCTGTCACGCAGAGGGTCACTGTAATCAGAACCAGCTCATTGGCACCCAGTAATCACCTGTGTCTTAGTTCTTTACTGCTTCTCTCACAGAAGCACCACAAGGGGGGTGTTTTGTTTTGGTTTTAAATTTTTTTAATTATTAATTTCAATGAAAATTTACAGAGACTTTGGATTTCCATTCATTCATTGTTGCAAGGGGGGGGGTGGTTTTTTCTTTTTCTTTTTTAATTTATCATTAATTTCAGTGAGTATTTACAGAGACTTTGGATCTCCATTCATTCATTGTTGCAAGGGGGGTTGGGGTTTTTTTATTTTTTAATTTATTATTAATTTCAGTGAAAATTTATAGAGACTGGATTTCCATTCATTCATTGTTGCAAGGGGGGAGGGTTTTTCTTTTTTAATTTATTATTAATTTCAATGAAAATTTACAGAGACTTTGGATTGTCATTCATTCATTGTTGCCGTTTTCTCCCCTCCCAACTCTCCCCCCAGTACACTGCCCTCTTGGAAAAGTTCTTTCATTGTTATACAAACCCTCCCCCCAGGTCCACTCCACTATACAGCCTTCATTCTGGACTCCAGTCATGACAAAAATACCTAATCACATATCCCTTTTAAACAGTTCTCTCCCTCATCTGTTTCAATGCAGTATACATTATTGTGTGATAATCTTCCTCAGTCTCACCATAACCCCGCTGTCAGTCCTGTTTTACAACAGTGGCACCATGCAGTATTTGTCCTTTTGTGACTGAGATACTTCGCATAATGTCCTCCAGGGTCACACATTTTGAATTATCTTGCATGAGTTCTTTGTTTTTCAGTGCAGCGTAGTATTCCATTGTGTGAATATACCACAGCTTCTCTATCCATTTGTTTGTTGGTGGACGCTTAGGTTGTTTCCCACTCCTTGCTATTGTGAACAAAGCCTGATGGACATGGGTGTGCAAGGGGGGGTGGTTTTAATAAACATTTTTCTCACAGGTGGGGAGGCCTGAAGCCCCTGGGGGAAAGTCCTGCCTGCTTGGACTGGACATATTCCTGTGTTTTCATCTTCTGTGACTTGTTTCTTGATGATCTTTGTACAGTGTAGAATATCCCCCCCCCCCACTGTTTGCTGCCTCCATCTCCTTATATATCAGAAGGGACCAGTTGGAGATAGTCGGGATTGTACTCACCCCTCATCCTTGTTGCTGTGCGGTGGGGACAGACTCAGGTGTCTCCCCATTGGGTGTGTAAGGCTGTGAATCACACCGGAGGACATCGCATGGCCTGCCCCTGTGGAGTAGCTCATGGATTCGAACCGCCACAGAGCTGCAGCCTCACAGACGAGGCCATCTGAGCTCCCCCAGTTTCCCATGTAAGACTGGAATTCACAACACATATCAGAGGACACAATTCTGGCTGGTGTATGAGGACACTTGGCATGCTAGTGATTGGTTTCAGCGCCAGGATTGGGCCCAGAGCTCCAGAAGCATTTGCTGTAAAGGAAATAACCATTTTCCACTGTTAACTTCTTAGAGATTCCTAGATTCAATCTGACTGTTGAAAAGCAGTGTCTTTCGGTGAAGAGTATTAGTTTTCTGAGACAAAGGAGACTGGCTGGAGTAAAAATGTATTGTTTGTTAACAAAGTGCTGGAAACAGGTCTTCATTATCAGGATGGTTTGTTGTTGTTGAATACCATCAGTCGGAACCAGAACCGACCCATAGCTGACCCACCAGCAGGTTTTCAGAGGCAGTTAATCACACCCGAGGAGACAGTCCATCCTTCTCCCACACGGCAGCTGGAGCAGCTGGTGGATTCGAACCGCGTGCCTTTGAGATTACAGGGCAGCTCTTTTTTTATCAAGATTGCATACAGACTATGTGAAAAGACACTTGAAACCATTTAATCAAGTGCTGTTATCCATGGAAGCAGATGCTATTGTACATCTTTCTATTCACAAGGCAGGTTCTACTGTACTAAACGATTTGATTCCCTGGAAAGGAGCCTCGACTCATCCCACAGGGGTGATGTGAGTAATAATTGACTTGATGGCCGTGGATTTGAGTTGGAATTTTGGAATGTTTACATATAAATCCACGGCCATCAAGTTGATTGTAAGTCATCAACACTTTCAGGGTCATAACATGATCCTAAACGGCAGAACAGAACTGCCTCCATAGGGTTTCAGGGATGTGAATCTTCACCGAAACAGACGTATCCATGTTTCTCCACTGAGCACGTAATGTGTTTGAACTGCTAACTCTTTGATTTGAGGCTAATTGTCTTAACCACAGTGCTGCCAGAGAGCAATATGTTGTTGTTGATTGCCTTTGAGTCGAGCACGACTCATAGCGACCCTGTGAGCAAAAGGCCTGAAGCCTTTCTATAACTCTCGACATTTATCAAAGTTCATAGAGTTTCCAGAGGCCTGTTGTTTAGGAGGTGGATGCCACTCCTGCTTCCAAATAGTTTAAGGGCTGAAAATCGAGTGTGCTTTAATTTTTTCTGGAAAGTTAATGACACAGAGCTTTTTTCCAGAGGATTTCCATCTTAATTTTATGTGTGATCAGATTTAAAGCTTTATGAAGTTTCAATTTAATGCTTAAATGTATATATCTAAAATTGAGTTAATTGATTTTAATTGTAAGTCACAGCATGGGTAGTTCTTTCATTTAAAAGCCAATTTATGTGCAAAAAAGAGCAATGAGTTGCTGTAGCTATTCTGTTTCTTTTTAAAAAACCAACACAAAAAAATTTTGTTGCGTTTATTGGTGAAGCCTACATAGCAGTTTATCTCTTTTGCATTTCTGGGCTTCATGTTTCACATGACTGAAATCATCAGAAGTAAGAAACTGATTTAGCCTCTAAGTAATTCCTATTAATTTGAAGAAAATATTTTATGAGTATAGGAACTGTGTTGACTTTCAAACGAGCATGTGCATGAACTTGTTTATATGCACTGTTGTTGGTTTGGTAATGCAATTTTCACGTGAACTTCTCTCCTGACCCCCCTTTTTTTTTCCCCCTGAATGAAAGTGGACATAGCCTACTTTGAACTCTTCCTAAAGTGGGCATTCTCTTCTGTGCACATTTTGGGTGCTTGTTTTTATTTTAGCCCTGTAGAGACTTTGGCGTTGAACATGGAACTTTCAAGGTGGCTTTCTCCTCGGGTTTAGGTCTGGGTCATTGGTAGCTGAACGAGGGATGTAGGCTCACTCAGAGGTTAACCAGGGTCCTTTGCACACAGTAGGACCGACTCTTGTCCCCTCTGGTTTGTTTAGAAGACCTGCACAGTCTGCCAGATGCTGCTTCCTAACCAGTGCAGCTTCGCGTCACATCAGAGGATCCATCAGCACAAGTCTCCCTACACCTGCCCCGAGTGCGGGGCCATCTGCCGGTCTGTGCACTTCCAGACCCACGTCACCAAGAACTGTCTGCACTACACGCGGAGAGTTGGTTTTCGGTCAGTATATTCGTCCTGAGGGCGCCTGAAGCTCCCTCCCTCCCAGGACAGTGTGTTAGAACTCTCTCTGCAGTAGAGCTGGTCTGAGTCCTGTGGAGTACGCGAATGTGGTGGTGACCCGCTGACCTACACAAGCCCCTGAGTCGATGAGATGCTCATTCTGGGCAAAATTGTGACACTTGACTTTGACCAACCTTTATAGCTTGTCTTTTGTACCCTGCTCAGCACACACGGTGGTCATACTTTCTTGCATTTAAACCCCAGCAAGCAAACGTGCATTTCTGCACCATTTAATATTTTCCTCTAGTTAAAGCAGAAAAATATCCTTTATTTTGTCCACTTGGAAAGATCGACTATGTATACTCTTTCCTAAAATAGCTTTTGAGGGAAAGAAGCCTTCTACCCCAATCACCTCTGTTTTCCTTCTTAGTTACCTGAATGCTCCTTCCTCAGACTCAGAACATGTCCATAACCCCACCTGTTGAGTTGTCTTAGGGGGTCTAAGATGTTTGGAGACCCTCCAGGGAGTAAGACCACTCTCAAATAGTTTCAGGAACGAAGAAACACGGAAGAATGTGTCATCAGATGTGTTGTAAATGTTGCTGAGAATCTCTGAGCAGGAGAGATAAAAATAGAAGAGAAGTAAGAAATGTACCAGCTATCAAATTATTTGAGATGAAAGAAATCAGGAAAGTAGCCAGAGAGGCACTTTTTAAAAGCTGCTGGCTTTCCAGGGGTTCATAATTGTGTAGTTTCTTAAATAAGTACAAGAGTGTTAAAATTTATCTTCTAGGAGATGGAAACCCATGTAGTTGGCTCCTCTACTCCGGGGACCCCGTAAACGGCATGCAGACCCTAGACCACATCACAGAGGGCTAGGAAAGAGTGGCTGAGTCGCCTCTGACTTTGGGGCCTCTTCCCGCCTCTCTGTCAATGACACACAGCTTTAGACAGCTGTGATGTAGCATAGATTTTGTCCATCTGGAAATGCCACTTAGGTATTGGGGATGGCTTGGAAGGCCAGGGCTCTGCAGTGAGGCCAGGGTGTAGATCTTGTCCCAAAAGCCAGAACTCACTGTCTTGGAGTGTCCCCATTCTTGATTTGTCCCCCACGGCCCGTCAGTCTCACCACAGTCTGGAGGCTGGATTTCGACCCTTAGAAACTTAAATTCAGACTCATTGTCGTTAAGTTAGAAGTGACTCATAGCTGACCTTCCAGAAGGTTTTGAGAGGCGGTAAATGACACAGGCGGAGGCTGCCTGTCTACCCTGCAGAGCCGCTGACGAGTTCAAACCTGCTGCTCTTGAGTTGGCAGCACACCTCCTTACCCACTAGACCACTTGAGCTCCCGTTAGACACTTTAGAATTGCTCCGTCATTACAGACCGTTTTCTTTTCTTTTTTAACCTTTTAAATATATAAAAATAATAACGATCTGTTATGAGTAGCCAAAGAATGGAAGTGCTTCCAAAATGACATTAGACACCCACAGGGCTGTTGAACACGTTCATTTTGCCCTATTCTCTGACGATGACGTTCCCCTTTGACTGAGCTGGTGTTTGTCTCCCCGACAGATGTGTGCACTGCAATGTCGTGTACTCGGACGTGGCTGCCCTGAAGTCTCACATCCAAGGCTCTCACTGTGAAGTCTTCTACAAGTGTCCTATTTGTCCAATGGCGTTCAAGTCTGCCCCAAGTACACATTCCCATGCCTACACACAGCATCCCGGCATCAAGATAGGAGAACCAAAGTAAGTCCTCTTCTGCTGACGTAGGGGGCCCAGAGGTCTGTTGGATAACACTTAGGCTAAGAGTATATGAAAAACCTGGTGACGTGTGCTAAATCAGTGCTCTTTAAAGCTCATCTCGTTACGTAAAGACTCACATTCTTTGTAGATATAAGGGCTTATGTGGAAGTGTCACACATATATGTATTTGTCATACATTTTTGTTAGATAAGACAATGCTTGTTCTTTTTCTTTAAATAATTTTAACAAGCAAAATTCTAGGAGGATTATGAAAAACTGTTACCTTTAGATTTGCCTGGAGTGTCTGTCTTACGGGATAAGCTTCTCACTATATATTTAAAAGATTAAATCAGTGAGAGACGCTAATTACTAAGTTTAATTTCAGTAGCCAATCTTAAATTCTTGATTCATAAAAGAAAAGAAAAAAATTCTGGTGTTAATGTCTTTAGAATTTTATTGGATTAGATCTCCTTGGATCCATGTGCTCGGTTACTTCCTGACCTCTTAACTGTGACCAGGCCCTGGTTATGTCCTCACTCCTCCCTGTGACCAGGCCCTGGTTAGACCCTCACCCCTCCCCGTGACTAGGTGCTGGGTTACAGCCTCACTCATGGAGTTGGAATCACTGACCTTTGGTTAGTGACACAGCGCTTAATTCATGGCACCACTGGGGGTCCTTTTACCTAGACTGCTAGACAGCAAGTAATTTTGAACTTGAATAACATAGGAAAAACTTGATATTTTCTTAAAATTCCAAGTATTTTAAAATGTCAAAAGAGTATTTTCCTAACTTTTTGCCCATTCCTACAAGGGTTCTTTTCACATGTATAAATCTACAAAAGGGTAATAAATGTGCTTAAACAATAAAGTTAAAAAGAGATTTACAAGTGAAATGAAAATAAAATTCTGGGCCTGAGGAGTAGAAGCACGGGCTATGCAGCTTCAGAGCTGGGGGGTGAACAGAGCCTGGAGGACGGCACACCTGGAGGGTGGACAGAGCCTGGAGGACGGCACACCTGGAGGGTGGACAGAGCCTGGAGGACGGCACACCTGG